AAATATACTTACCTTGTCATTGGTCATTTACAAAATTATTTTGTTAAAAAGCATTCTGATTGTACACACAAGTACTCTGAAGATGCTTGAGTTTCTGATTGACAATATTTATGTAGTTTTTGGAGATCAGGTCTTTCAACAATCTGTTGGAATCTCCATGGGTACCAATTGTGCCCCCTTGTTAGTAGACATATTTCTGTATTCATATGAAGCAGAATTTATTTTAAAACTTCTACATGAGAAGAAGAAAACACTTGCTGTGGCCTTCAACTCGACGTTTAGATATATCGACGACTTATCAATTAACAATAGATACTTCCATTCATACGTCGACTCGATATATCCCAGTGAGCTTAAAATAAAAAATACCACAGAGTCTGACACATCTGTTTCATATTTGGATATTTTACTAGAAAAAGACGTTAACGGTAATCTAACAACCAAACTTTATGATAAACATGATGACTTTAACTAACTTTACAATCGGCAACTTCCCTTACTTATGCAGCAATATATCTTCATCACCTGCATACGGGGTTTATATCTCTCAGTTGATTCGATACGCAAGAGCATGATCTACGTATGAACAATTTCTAAAACGAGGTATGTTATCGACAAACAAGTTGATGAAACAAGAATATCAGCAGTCTCGTTTAAAGTCGTCATTTCGTAAGATCTATGGTCGATACAATGACCTTGTCAGCAAATACAATTTTTCATCAAGTCAAATGCTGACTGACATTTTTCCTACGAATTGTTAGGCCATTATTTACACACTGAATTGTCGACGGTTTGTACCGTTATTTCCCGATCATGACAATGAGCACACGACGGATATGACCGGTAGGCAGGGGATGCTCACTCCTCCATGGCACCTGATCCCACCTCTGATGTTTTAGAGGTCCATGTTTCCTCTGCTCCAAAATTTGTATTGTTTAATGGACTTCTGAGCTTGAATACTGTTCGTATTTCATTCCATATTTCATTGAATGTGATTTCGTTGTTTTACACCTCTTGCTTTTTTATGCCCCCGTAATCGAAGATTCAAGGGCATATAGTTTTTGGTGAGTCCATCCATCTGCCATTCTGTTTATCGTTCTTTGCAAAAACTTTAACCTTGGCAATAACTTTTGAACCTTTGGGGCTTTGGCTTTCAAATTTCACGTGTATTCATTTTTTGTTTTGACTTTTCTTTGGGTACCTTGACCTTGGAGTGAGACTTACTTTTGTAAAACTTTAACCTTTTGACAAATTCTTTCTTTCGGAACTAACATGTCTGATCTTGTTCTAGGATTTTGACATGTTTTGTAAAACTAACCTTGGCAACAACATGTGAGTGGTTGGTACTAAGGCTTTCATATTGCACTTGTGTATTCCTTGTGACAAGACCCTTCTTTAGGTACCAGCATTTTTACCCCGTGACCTACAGGGGCATCAGTGTTTCAAAGAAACATCTTGTTTTCTTTCTTTTTTTAATAAAAACATTTTCATAATTCTATTCTGATATTCAATCCTTGTCATTTTCTTTTCAATGGACTTTTGTGTGCAACAAAATATTTCTTTTAAAAAACAAAATAAAACCTTGGAATTGTAAATTGAATGCAGAGCATTTTAAAGAAAATAAAATAGCGATAAAACATAAACTATAGCAGTAGAATTTATCAAGGCCTGGGTGATGTGTTATATTTTCACATGTACTTTACAAATAGGCTAATTTGATAAGATACCGCTGCCAATTGAAGACCTTATCAATGGAATGACTAACACTGTTTTCCCTGATAACGATGACTAAGATGTTTTGTCGGAGAAGGCAGGTTTCTCCAGACACCTTGTATCCAAGAGAAAGCTTTAATAATATTGAGTGTATAAGACTTATTACTTTAAGATACTTATCAGTTAATAAAAAAAAAATGACACAGTAAACAGCGAGTAGGTTGAATGGAAAGTCACTTCCAATGAGAAATTTATTCAAAATAACATTTTGATTTTTTCAAAAGTTAGTAACATCAAAACTTTTGACTTTTCTACACTTTATTCAACCTTTCCTCACGAGAAATTAAAAACTAGGCTTATTGAAGTCAAACACAATTGCTTCTTCTATAAAAATGGAACTCGTAATTTTTTATGATTTGTAACTGGTCATCAACTAAACTACTTTGTTAAAAATCACTCTGATTCTACACACAAGTACTCTGAAGTTGATATTAAAAGGATGCTGGCGTTTCGTATTGACAACATCAATTTTGTCTTTGGAGATCAGGACCAGGGTGGTCAAAACCTTGGTTAGCGCTAACCGCTGGTTAAATTTCTTATCCAGCGGTTAACTTTAAACCTTGTTATTGTTTTTTTTTTTTTTTTTGGGGGGGGGGGGTAAATTTTGGAAGATAACAAAAGAAACAAAGGCTTATATGCATTGTACTCATGAATTTAATATTGATGAGTACATGGAAATGATTTCACAATGATAAGAATTTACTTAAATGCCTATATTATGCTGATATAAACCAGATTGTCATTCATGTTTGAATGTTTTACTGACTATAGACGATAAGGGCAAGACCTAGGGTAACGGTAATGTGTAATCGTAATGCATTGTAATCATTACTTTTTTCAAAGAAATGGGATGTAATGTGTAATGGACCCATTTTTCAATTACAAGTAATTATAATGTAATGCATTACTTTTAGAAAATGTCAGTAATGTCCATTACTTTTCAATTACATTTCAAATACATTTTTGTATTTAAATCTTCTTCTTTTTTTATTGAATCTGAAACAAATTAAGGTCGCGTCACTGATAAGTTAGTTTTTAAAAATAATATTACATTCTTGAAATAAATTCTTATCCATTTCTTTTTTTGAAATGTTATTTAGTGGTGATTGATATACATGTTCATGCTAAAAAATCGTTTTAATAGAAAACTTCTTGAGAGTTATAAAATCTATTGAAGAGAGCCCCCCCCCCAAAAAAAAAAAAACAAAAAAAAAAAAAAAAAAAAAAAAAAAAAAACCAGATTGAAGCATTAAGTTGAAAGATAACATCAAAACATACTGTGACTACCATTAAGCTATTACCATTTTTCAGTGACATAGAAATGATATTTTTCAACTTGATTGTCCTTTTTGACTAAGTTTATTCTGGTGAAATGGACTCTGTAAGCAATATAATAGATCAGTATGATCTGCTAGAAGATCACAAAAGGGAATTTTAAAGCCAAATAGTGTCCATCTATGCTGGTAGCTTTAGAGTTATCTTTAACTTCACCAATTAACCAATAGCTACAGCTGCACGTACCTGTTGGTTTGGGTGAATAAATTGAAATTGAACTTGAACTCGACCTTATATTGAGTTGAATTATATTTTTATTGATTATGTCAGTAATTACAAGTGCCAATTTATTTAATTATCAAAACATAACTGTTTAACAATTACAACATCATCAGATAATTGTAAAACAAATAAATAGTATAAAATGTTAATTATCTATTTTTGAAAATGGAAAGGTTCTAACATCAAAGTCCTAACAAAACTGCAACATTGAAAGTGTTCTGACCCAGTTCCTTTGTTAACTGTGGATTATTAAACTACATGAAGTTTGTCGGAAAAAAAATGGATTTAAAATACCAAATACTACAATGACTTAAAGTTAATTTACAAATAAATTGTGTGGTAAAACAATCTGTGTTATTTTCGTATAAAATGTAATATGTATTGTAATTCATTACTTTCACAAAGTAATTGTAATTTGATTAATTACTTTTTTGAATGAGTGAAATGGTAATTGTAATGGAAAAAATTCCAAAGAAATTGTAATTTAATGTATTGTATTTCAAAGTAATTGATTGCAGGTGTCATAACAGTATTTCACTTGAGGTTCACGTCAAATCATGGCTGACGCAAAATAATTCCTGAATCTTCCCTTCCGATTCGGGCATTTTAACACGAGACTGGAGCTGAATTTTTTTATGAGATGAAAAACAATATGTAAACTTCCTGTATTGACTAGATTCATTATAATTTAGGGCGTGCTGATTTTTCTGTATACTGTATTTGAGTGGGGAGTGATTAGGTCCTGGACTTGATTTTCAAGCACCTGCTCGACTTCGACCGAAACAAACTTGCGTGCCTTGCTGGATGGCTATGTATTTTTTGGTACTAAAATCTTTATAAAGAATTGTTTTACAAGATCTGAAAAGGAAACTTCTCAAAAGATTGTTTTCAATTTATACCACCTACTCAAAGTTGCGCATTTTTGGTAAGAATATATAGCAAAATTTAATACTGTTGTGCAACCTCTAGGCCTTATTAAGGCCAAACTAACAACTAAACTGTATGACAAGCGAGATAACTTCAGCTTTTCCATCGTCAACTTTCCTTATTTAAAATCCAGCGTAAGCACGGGAAAATGAATTTTGACCACAGCCGAAGGACCGATTCCAATAATATATTATTGACTCTTTGACTTGTATCTTGTTTGGAATATTTTATACCAATTGTTAGGCGTTTTGTTTTATACTAAATTTGACAACGAAATAATCCGTCACCTGATCAATGCATATGGTGTGACAGGTCGACATGCGATACTTACCCCTCCTTGGCACCAGATCCCATCTCTGGAATTTCCAGAGGGAGGTCCGTGTTTTATGTCCTGTTCACAGATTTGTATTGTTTTTTTTTTTATATATTTTACATCGATCACTGTTCGTTATCTTCGTCTTTTTCATTCACAATTATGACGACAGTAATAATAAAGTACAAACAAAATACTTTCAATACTTTTATGTAAAACAGTCTAATGTATACATGTACATATAAGATTCCTTTTAAAGGAAAAAATTAAGTGAATAAGAATTACACCATGTCATTGTCATTTCTAAATTATAAATAAAAACACATCTAGATTAAAATATCCTAAAAAACAAAATTTAAGATGAACTTCAAAATAATAGCTTATAAATGATTAATAATGTATCAATAACTACAAAGCAACGCTTTAGAATTCATGGTGGTAGATTATAGTTATTGCGCTGTAAATGCCCAACTCTCCCTTCGTATACATGTGCCCCCGAAATCTTGTCTTCAACTAACACATTGCAATCGATGAAAATGGTCATCAAATTAAAATTCACTCTACATCTGTTAGACTGCATTTGTTTACAGTGTGATATCATGGAGGCATTCAGAGAGAATTTCTGAATTGGGTTCTCTGATAATTCCAAGTATTCCAAATACGGGAAATTAGAGAGATCTGTAGATTTCAGCGAAGTGATTCTGTTATGCCTTAGATTCAAAACCCTGAGGCTGGACTCAGATTGATTATGCAACATGCCCATCTCTTCTATAAGATTAAATCCCATTTCAAGAGTTTGCAAAGAATGGAGGTCTTTTATCCCTCCTGTGTGATATATCCTGTTGTTGGACAGATCAAGATGCCTAAGCCTCGGAAACCGACTTAATGAGGTTAAGTTCACTGATTGTAATTCGTTGAAACTCAAGTCTATATATTCAAAATACGTTTTGTTGGTATTTCTCAGTAAATCGTCTATAGGCCCTTTGGTGTAATTCCTAATAACCATCTTCTTAACGGATGAGTTGGAAAGATTCAGTAGATATTTTGAAGAATTAACATCATTTCTGGGAGCAGACTTTCCTAGGAGACATACATAATATAGCATGCATGACATAACAATGAGAACAAGAATGAACGAAAGAAAATAATACACCACTCTCTGTGATTTTTCTTCTAAATCATCTTTGGAACGAACGACTTGACTTCCATCTTTAAAAGTCTTTATGGGAACATTTGGATTAGTTGCTTGCTTATGATCTTCCCTATATGTTGAATTTTCGGTTGTAAGTCTAGAATTGCGCGAGTCTATTTTACTTTTCACACTTTCCCTCCCATCCAGTTTTAGTGACAAATTTTCTTTGAAAGGTTTTCTAACAGGAAGAGGCCTCGTAAAAATTGTTCCACCTTCATAAAAATACAGAATTATTGAAAAAAACAAAAAACATCCAAGTATATCATATACACTTCATTTATTTTCATGAAATAGAATCAGGGCTATACAGTTGTATCGTTAAAATTTGAAATATTTACCATTTTGATGTTTCTCAGCCACTTTGGATTCTGTCGTAAAATCAGCTCGGATTCGGAGTTCTCCGTTCACCTCCATGAGATTCTCTCCAGCAACACCCGATATAATGGCGGACACCAAGTCTTTCTTCCTCTCAACAGAGAAAGATTGCACCGTGTTTGCTGGAGAAAGGATCACCTCAATGTCTGACATAATATTTAGCAGAAGAAGAAGAATAAGAAGAAGAATATATTAAAAATTCCAATCGTATCAAATACATTTACAGTGTATAATTATGCATAAAGTAGCATAAAAGCGAAGGTAAGTTAACAATAAATTAAAATGCATACAGCTTTTGGGGGATCAGGGATCATACTATTGCCTTCAACAATTGATCATGGTTTGAATTTGTTTAATTCATACTAGATGATTCTATAGAAACAAAACCCAATTGTTTCTTAATTATCTATATGGCTTTAATTACATACTCGTGGTAATCAAAATGCCTGACTTACCATTTGTCTTTTGAAACCTATTCACGTCAACAGAATCTCCCAGAGCAATATCGATGCGAAAGGATATCAATGATATCTCATCGCTGGAAATTTCAGCAAAATTGAATAAAGCTGCCAAAAATTGTTCCATAACGCAGACATCTAATAAACGTTTAGTAGAGAAATGTTTTATTTTGCGCAGCACAAGAACTATGCAGCCCTTCCTTTGAACAACGATCTCTACATCAAACTTGTCCTTTAGAACTGCATTGACAGTCTGTAACTTTTCCCCCGACAACGACCTGAGGACCTGCTCCTCTATGTGAGCGACATAAATTCCAGAGGAGGATGGTGCCTCCATATGGAGTATCATCTTGACAAGCTCATCGGATTCTCTGCTGGTTTCTGTGTCAGTCTGTATATGATCGAAAACTTCAACATTTAAGACACATTTGTTATTGTTCCCGATCTGTACGACAACATCTTGTCCATGGTTTACAATGTGAAGGTTGGCGGGGCGCGTATCTGAAATAAAATTAAATGAAATAGAACTCACTGTAATATTTTTTTTTAATTTTACTCTTGCTACGTAATCGTTCAATGTTAGATATGCAATATATTTCAACAAAAAGAAGTAAAACATATTTATTTATTATGATTTTTTTTTTTGGGAGAAAAATTTAATCCTGTTGAGACAATGTAAAAAAAACATCGAAGAAAGGTGTGCATACAAACTGAAAGCAGTGTATGCTAATAGAATCACACAAGTTAAAATAAGTATTTTAACGCTTATAACGCAAACATACATTTTTTATCTTTTTAAAAGCTTGAATTCTTATTTTTTAATGTCGTCGGTCCTATATAACAGCACCTGGCCGTGCCGACAAATTGAATACTCTTCGTTAGCGCGGTATGATAATTTGTCGGCACGAACGGATGCTATAGGACCGATGACATCCAAAAATAAGAAAATAATTCAATACTTATACATGTATTTACACTCTCTAAATTTATCTCTTATTAATTGTTAATTTCGTTAATCTTTATTATGAATTGAGCGCCTTTCAGAACTGGTGTGCTTAAAAGACGTGAGAGCCGTTGTGACGTAGAAAGTTAAATAACGCAAATGAATATTGCGGGGGGGGGGGGGATGACAAATTAATTTAAACGTACAATTTCTATATTTGTTACAAAAATTTAATTAAGTAACTGTTTTTAATTAATTTGAGCTAAAACAAATATTTTGGTGTTCCTAGATCCTTGAAAAGGCATCTATTAGAGTTCCTACTGTGTATTCTACCGCGCAGTTAAAAGGTTTCGTGTGTGTTATCTAGACAATAAAATGCTTTCTTTGATTGTTAGTACGGGAATTAACGTTGCAGCTGTTGCAGAAGCTGCAATGGTAATTCCCATACTAACAAAAAAAAAGAAAGACATTTTATTCTTTATATTTATATCTGTAAAAAAAAAAAATAATCATTTAAGGTAGGATTTAGTAGATGAAATATTTTATTGTTGACATGTACGTCATTGTACGTTTCATCGATGGACGTTTCATTGATGGAACAGCCACTGATCAAGAAGTCTCTAAAAGTGATATGCTTAGCGGTGTTTGCTGACTGATAGTCGCCCGCGTGGCGCAGTGGTTAGAGTGTCTGCTCTGAGTCGCGGAGTAAGGAGTTGATCCTTACGTCGCGGGTTCGAATCCACTTTGGGACGTGGAGACCGGCCCTTCGGTTGAGACCGTATAAACAGAGGTCTCATGTCGCAGTAGTTGTTGGCACGAAAAAGATCCCTCACTGCTCAATGGCCCTGAGTGCCGAGCATAGGTTTAAATTTGCAGCCCTCCATCGGCAAGTGGTGGCGTCTTCATATATGAGAAAAAATCTCGAGGGGGACGTTAAAAAACAAACAAACAAAAACTGACTAATAAACTGTAATGGTTTTCTTAGAAATAAAAGAGATGCTATTCACCGGATGTCAAAATGGGGCATTGAATTTTGTAGATTTCCAATGGATTCCATGAATAAAATAACACTGAATGTAAATACATTATCATGCTCATATTGATTTGAGAGATTTACATTTTGTCTGGACTTTAATTTTGTACTTTATGAAGAGCTACAACAGCTGAAGAAATAGTCAAGTTGTTTCTGCATGAGTTTTGTATAAATAATAATAATAATAATAATAATAATAATAATAATAATAATAAAAGAAATTTATTGAATCATTCAACATATTAAAAAGTGTTTATGAAGATGAAAGTCAATCTAAAATATATTGGAATTTTTTAAAGCAATAAGGAAGTTTTTTTAAAAATTGTTTATATTATTCAAAGGAATTTCTTCCTCTTGTTCTTCCTCTTCCTGTGTCATATATTAAACGGTTGAAGCTAATATTAAACATAAATATTTCGACAATTAAGTATTTAAATATAAATATTGCATGCTACCTTTTCCACCAAAATCCCGATTAATTGATTCTTGAAAACCTTTTCCAAAAGCGAAAAGTTTCAAAATGTTATCCCCGATGTTGGTTAGTGTTCTCACACATCCTCTATACTGATCATCAGGCATGGTATTAGATCTGTTGACCACTTTCCAAACTGACATGAATTTCTCGACATTTTCGCCCACGTGCTCCTTCTCAAAATGTCCAGATAGGCATTCTCCACACCAAGAACATTCAGGTTGTTTTATTGTTGTGAATCTTTTCAACAATTCAAAAAGCTGATCCAGCTCCAGGTTACAAAATGTGTTTTCTGTGTTAAGCGAGATCAACGATTCTTGCTCCGCATGAGGAAGACTAGCGAAATACTCGGACTGAATGACCTCTCTGTATAGACGCTCCGGGGAAATGTAAACCTCCAAAACTTCTTGAAGAAAGTCCCTTCCAGAGGAAAGGTAAAAATTTAAAAGTCGTATTTTATTGTCCACCATCCTTTTCATTCTTAAGCGCCGTTCCTCCATTGTAGACGACATGACAAACCAATGAAATCAAAATGAAAATTATTATACCCGTCCTTTTAAAGACCTGTCTTGGTAAATACTAAAAAGTTACCTTCCATTGACACTTTAATACTGATATTGGGTTTTCCCATCGCTATTCTTAAACGTGACACGGTCACTTAATCGAATAAGTCCAATTAAAAACAAAATTACGATAACCAATGACAAGCAAGTTCTTTGTAGGAGATGAAATCCCCGATATACTTTGTTGTTACTAATAGGACCTAAATCTGGGTACAGAAAAGCCTCTATCTCACAAAGGTGATGAAATATTATAGAAATTTAAACTACAACAACAGAATCTTGGAGAGCTATATACCCTTTGCTGTAGATAGCAAGTGCATTGGCCCATTTTGATCCTGATTTGACATAGGAATTGTCGAAATACCATTCAATTGAATTGCAAAAAAATATATGTATAAGTTATAAAATTTGGAATACTTTATTCTTATTTACCGTTACGCACAAAATATTGTTTTGTTAAAAAAGGTTGTTTTGATATCAAAAAGGAAGGTCTTTGTAATGTAAATACTTTGTCAAACTTTCATCAAGAAAACAAGTCTTACCATGCGAAAACAACAAACTGACGAACTCAAAAGGAAAATTGAAATCCCCATTTACACAGGTCACAGTGAAAGTGAACGAACAGTTGTCGTGGTAAACTTTTCACAATTTTATCTTCTTCTCCGGAACTACTAGGCCAATTTCAACCAAATTTGGCACAGAGTATTCTTGGGTAAAGGGGATTCAAGTTTGTTCAAATGCAGGGCCCTGCCCTCTTCAAAGGGGAGATAATTACAAATAAGTGAAAAATTAATTGCATCTTTTAAAATCTTCTTCTCAAGAACCACTGGGCCAGGAAAGATGAAACTCGTGTGGAATCATCCTCAGGTAGTGTAAATTCAAGTTTATTCACATCAAGACCCCCGGGGGTAGGGTGGGGCCACAATGGACGATCAAAGTTTTACATAGGAATATATAGGAAAAATCTTTAAAAATCTTCTTCTCAAGAACCACTGGGTCAGGATAGAGGAAACTCATGTGGAATCATCCTTAAGTAGTGTAGATTTAAGTTTGTTAAAAACATGACCCCGGTGGTAGGGTGGGGCCACAATGGACGATCAAAGTTTTACGTAGGAATATATGGAAAAAATCTTTAAAAATCTTCTTCTCAAGAACCACTGGGCCAGGAAAGATGAAACTCATGTGGAAGCATCCTCAAGTAGTGTAGATTCAAGTTTGTTAAAAACATGACCCCCGGTGGTAGGGTGGGGCCACAATGGACGATCAAAGTTTTACATAGGAATATATAGGTAAAATCTTCTCAAGAACAGCGAAGCATGATTGGTTATTATTAACTATTCGGAAGTATCCTAAGGTAGTGTAGATTCATGTTTGATAAAAATCATGACCTCCCTGAGGATAGGGTGGGGCCACAACTGATGATTAAAGTTATGCATAGGAATACATAGGAAATTATTTTTACAAAAAATCTTCTTCTCAAGAACAGCAAACCTATGATTGGTCATATTTATATGAAAGCATGCTCAGATAGTGTAGATTCAAATTTGTTCAAATCATGACCCCGGGAGTAGGATGGGACCATAATGAAAGTTCACACTTGTAGGGAAAAAAGTCACAGTTAGTCAAGGAAATATGTAAGCATCTTAAGTTGGTGTAGATTCAATTTTGTTCAAATCATACCCCTCCCCCGCCCTTTTAGGGGTGGGTCAGGACAACTTATGCATTAAAGCCTTTCAATACTGAACTGATTTTTGCTTTTTTTCTCTAGCCACAGTGCTCAGGTGAGGGATGTGGCCCATGGGCCTCTTGTTTATATAAGACATACTCTTTTGGCCTAAACTCACAGTCAGAAAACAGAATAGCATTAAAGGTAAATTAGTTTCTTAAAATATAGCAAAATCTTGATTTTACAAAAAAAAAAAATGCCAGGATATTCATAAATATGTTTAAAGATACATGTTTTTGTTACAAAGAGATGTTGGTAATATATCATTAGAAAAAAAATCTTGTTTTATGACTCGATTGAAATGTGTCCTTGAGATAAGTGTAGTGTGGAATTGTTTTAGAATTCTTCAACTATCGATTTTTTTCCAGTATTACACTTATATTCTTAAGTGTTCAAAGCTAGGTACCTTGCTGACATTAAGCTTCAAACTGAAAGATTGGGCAGTTTGCATATGACGGTACTTGGTATTGAATGTCAAAATAAGGAAGGTTCGGTAAAAAATACGTTAACAAAAACCAGTCAGGGGCTGCCAAAATTCTTTATATCCTGAAAATTGCGACACTTCAGTACGTCTCTTAAAAATAGCGTGATATTTGAGGAAGTTATCTTTTACAATAACTCAAAAACTTTTAGTAAAGGAGAACGAAAAAGTACAGAATACTATTAGTCTATTTACAAATGCGTAAAAAGTTATGATTTTCCCACGGACATCATTCGAACACGCAATTTGAAAATTAATAACTGATACTGATCTGTTTTACTTTGTTTTTACATTGCATAGTTTGTAACAATATATCGAAAACGAGGTACGTAATAAATGCCTATGTAACAATGCCGTTTTCTTTCTTGTGCTTATGGTATACCATTTGAATGAATTCTAACTTCTGATAAGTTCTAATAAACCCCAAGATAATCTTCATTTCTCCTATGTTCTGATATATGTTGTATAAAAAGTGTGTTGGAAAATTCAATTTAAAAAGCTGTAAACAGGGCATTTTATCAATTTCGAATACTACTATTGCGATAAAATGGTTTTTTACTGACAATGGCGATAATTCAAACCTCGATGCTAAACATAAAAAATACAATACGCACATATTTTCCTGATTTTTTTTTTAAAAATGAAATCAGTAGCATTGACTTCCATGAAATTGTACGGAAGCGTAAAGGTCTCTACACTTGTGTTATATTTTTGTACATTGTCTTACTTTTTATTGTCTTATTAACGTATAATCTGTTATGATTTCTTATTTTCATTTATATGTTGCATTTTATCTGGATATTTTCATATAATTAAAGCGTCTTTTCTGTATGATGGATTTTATTGCTAAAAGATATATCGACTTTAAAAAAATATTGATTTAAAAAGCATTGATTCAAGCATGAGAATTAAAGATATCGATGTAGTTAGCTCGACACACAACAATAAAATATATGCATATTAGTTAAATTAATATAAATATGCTAGTATTTCTATGGGAAAAGTTTGAAAATATTGTTCTCCAACTAATTTCGCGGCTCGGGGAATTCTAATGAAAAGTCGCATCAGGCAGATTTATTGACGGCACATGCAAATTGTGCCATGTGTAAAGTGTCAAATATTTGTTGTTGTATGATTATAGAGAAAAACGTATTGAAGAAGAAGGAGGGTGGGTGCATGATCAGTTAAATTGTCCCCATTGACGCAATAATCAATTTACATCATACTAATTGATAAGAAATGAAATATATATGCAAGTCTAGTGATAGTTTAATATTTTTACTTATGAATAAAATTCATCAGTCTCTCTTTGAAGTAAAAATTATGTGCTTCCAAAGTGTGCAGAATTACAAAATTGAAAATACAAAATTCAATGTTCCATTCATAAATACATATAGTACTCGGTGATGAAGCGAAAGTAACAATATTATTAAAGTGACACTGGCTATGTACACTGTAAATATTTTTTTCATTCTCTAATAAACATAGGATCTGCCGCATAGACGTTAACCTCCATAGTCTTGACCCCTCCCCCCATTTCCCCGAACTCTTTGAAATATAAGCAGTGAATCATGATAGAATATATATCAGATAAAATTTAACTATCAACACATCAGTACTACTTTCTTATTACTTAGAATTATGTAAAATAATTTGTGCTTCATTGCAGCCAATTTGCATAAGCGTATAGTCAGAAAGTTAAAAGGGGAAAAGGATGAGGTCAGCCAAATAAAATATTTGAGAAGAAAAGCAGAGGTTTAATTATCCACTTGTGAGTATTCTTCTTTATTTTCAGGATATATTAGCGGATCTTTAATACTCTTAGCACAAAGATACTCTTCCCTCCCCCTCTTCAAAAGTGGTGATGGGGACAATAGCCCCCTATGACTATGCCTATGATCTAACTGCTGATGACTCTCCATCCCCCTTTTTCAAAACATTTTTGAATGTGTATCAGCCGACTATCGTATACGATATCAAATACATGGTACAGGAATCATTGAATCCCAAGTGAAGCGAAGATTCATTAGAATTCCCGCCCCCGCAAACTTAATTCAACAATAATATTTTCTCACTTCTCTCTCATCTCAGAAATATTCATATATTTATATCGATATATCTATATATTTATTTTTATATATCATGATCACTATATTGATATGATTAAATATCTTGCTTTGGCCAATATCTTAAAATCAATATTTTTGTAAAGTCGATAATACTTATAGCAATAAAATCAATGAAATAAAAGAAGGTGCCTTAAATTATGTAAAAACATCTAAATATAATTCAAAATATGAGTTTAACACTTTATATGTTGATAAGACAATAAAAAATAAGACAATATATACATTATAACACAGCAAGTGTAGAGAAATATTAGACCTTTACGGTTCCGTAAAATTGAATTAACGCTACGTCAAATATATATATATATATATATATATATATATATATATATATATATATATATATATATATATATATATATATATATATATATATATATATAATAGCTTATATGCTTAAAATTGTATCATTAACTATGAAGCAACGCTTTAGAATTCATGGAGGTAGATTAGAGTTATCGCGCTGTAAATGTTCAACTCTCCCATCGTATGCATGTACCCACGAAGTCTTTTCTTCAACTAACACACTGCAATCGATGAAAATTGTCATGAAATTAAACTTCACTCTACATCTGTTAGACTGCATTTGTTTATAGTGTGGCATCATGGAAGCATTCAGAG